AGTGGAGAGGCCAGAACCATCCAACATTTGGGGCATTATCCATCACATAAACACTGGAAGCAGTTAATTTGACTGGGTGAAAACCTAGTATATGGCTGGAAAGTCTATGGTCAATGTGTGTGTGCTCCAGAGGGTGTAACTGTTTGCTACAAAGTGTAGAAAGTGTATGTCTCAAAATGTCATTTTAATGTCACATTACTTAAAGGCTTTATTGTCTTGGCAAGACAAATATTGGTGTGCAATGATTGAATTTCAAAGACCCTCAAATGCTCTGCCTTACATATATCAGCTTCAGCTGAGGTTGTCCACACAGTAACTGGGTGCCACAACAGGTGTCTTACAATGGAGGCAATTAAACAGTATTTCCACAACCAGTACGCTCTAACTCATTCAATAGTATGTTTTGTGGTCACAGCAGCTCAGCAAAGAACTCCCTAAAAGGTGCAAAGATACTAAAACTAAAAAAGAAAAACACAAAGGAAAAGACATTATGAGGCCAATTATATGCAGAGAAATACTGTGGAATTAGACAGTCTGCAAAGACCTGTCACACAATTTCATTTCACACACACACACAACCCACCCACACACAATTCCAGCTCTCTCGATGTGTGAGGTAACTGCCACTCTCACCATGTACCTCTCCAGCTCGAGACGGTAGCGGTTGGTGGCTGAGTCATCGCTTTTCTCTGATGTCACCGCAGACAGAATCGCTAATGAACCCACCAATCTCCAATGGGGCTGCCTCTGTGGTTGCCTGTCTGCAGGATACCAAATGCTCCCTCTTTGCATCTCAGTATATCTCAAGCAGCTGTTTGAGTGCTTTGAGTGACCGCATGGGCTCACTAATGCAGTTATGGATAGTACAGTCACCTCCCTGCTATATTTTCAAACTGCTTACAACAAAACCTTTAAAAAACAGTTCTACCAAAAAAAATTCCTGCAGATTCTTCATGTTAAAACACTCAGAATTCACCTATCCTGTGCCAACAAAGAGCTCAATTTTTTTTTTTTGTCTAAGCCTGTCTGCCATAATGTCAGCAATGAATCACTCCCATTTGAAGGGCACAGAGTCGTGGGTCGTGTCCTCTCAGTGTAATGCAGCATCTGAGAATGTGCTTATGGTCCTGTCCAACTGGTGACAGGGCAGAGGCTTGAAGGTGACGAGCAATGTCACTCTTTGGAGTCATTAAGTAATCTGTCAGTTCGCATTAAAGAAAACCGTCACAGACCCTGATCAGAGTGGGTTTTGTCTTTATGCTGCATATCCAATGTTGTATTCCTTTATTTTGTACACAGGATAGTAGAGAACAGACCAATCTGTCCTATTGCACAAAGAGCACAAAGAGAAATCTTTAAAAAAACAAACAATAGAGGTAACGATATACAAAATAAGTGAAGGTGTCAACTCAGCGACTCATGAGTGGCAGCCTTCTCGATGCTCGCTGTGCTCGTGAGCCATCAGGAACAGTTTGTAACTTGTGACTCAGATCAGTTTGTCACCCCTGATCCATTGTCAGGCAGTTTCTGTCATTGTGATAACACATTATTGTGTCCTTTATTATTGAGAAGCACAGAGCAGCCGGCTGCAGGTTGTTCATCTGTGCTGTAGGAAACTCACATGATAATTAACTGGAAACACTAGGAATGCCAAATGCTAGTACAAAACAAAACAGGTTATAAAACATATTATGAAAGCAGTATTTTTTGTACATTTTAGTCCAGACACACTGTTCTGAAGTTTTTTTAAGGAGCAATCCTTAAAGGATAAGGCTGGTGATATTTTACAGCTTTCGTATTGTAATCAAACTCCACGGAAAGACCAAACAGAAAATATTCCCCAACAAATGCACTATTTTAATTTTGTTTCAGTAACATTTAATAAAAACTACAGTGCCCAGCTGTTTGGGGAAATTGCTTTAATAAAACTAAGGCTATGCATTTGTAAGCCAATTAAAAAAATATCTTCAGTAGGAAACCCTGCGGGGGTCTGGGCTGAGTGCCACAGCCTGGGGAAGTTGTGAGACTAACACATTTTTTTGGTCTTTTCATGTGATTTGTACAAAATAATAAAAATATAGAATTACTCCAAACAAATCCTTTAATTTAATAAGCAGCTTAAAGAGCGGAAAGAAAACAGTGACCAGTGTTTTTCTGCTTATAAAATATTTTATTCTAAACCTTTTGAAAAGTTGTCATGGGTTGAGGTGACATACCCACATTAACATATTAACATACTGGAAACACATTGTCGCCATACTGTTATTAAAATCAAAGCAAAGCCTGTGATTATAGACACATCTTATCTTTAAACATCTGGAAGTAACATTTAAAGTAGCATGCAACACTTGGTTGAGACCATGTTTTTTAAATGTGCATGTGTGTAACCCCCCCCCCATGTTTTTATTGGCAAAATTGTACAGGTGGGCTCATTGGGAATTAAAATAAAAAAACAGAATAAGCTAATTCAGTTTGCTTTGACATAATGGGTCTCATTTAGAACATTTTCATGCATAAATTTTAAGGAGTTGACCAAATCCAAACCAAAGTTGTGGATTATGAAAAATGGATCTTGTATGCATATTTTCATTATGAATATATATTTTCTGAAACTGTTATCTACTGTTATGATCATTATGACTATGATTGGTACATAATCATGTTTGTATGGCATTGTATTTTTTATTAATAATCCAGGGCAGCTGGCTTTAAAAAGTCTGCAGTTGTTTTCACAGCATACCCACTGAGCTAATTTAGCTTCTTTTCATACATAAATCACAACGTTAAATCGTGTGCTTACATTCATAATGAGTCTCATCTCTGCCGTCATGAATGGAAAGATACATTCAACATGCTTGAACTGGGATTTTTATGCGGCACAGACTTAATTAAAAACTATCACCTTGGGAAAAGAAGATACCATGTGAAAATGCTTTTGTGGGTGGAAATGAAATGGATTTTCTCAAAACTTAACACACGCACACATTCACATGTCCATTCACACTTACTGTGAACTCATGCACACGTATCCTCACATGTGGCCTTGGATGGCCTGACATATTACATAATGCTCCTTCGACAGCACTCCTTGACTTTCTTCAGTACTGACAGCTCTCCTCAGTGGCTGTCAATCACACGACTGACTGGGAAAAAGCAATAGGACGCCTTTGGGGGCTTTGCTTTGAGCAGATGCACTAAGACTTAGATTGCTTTCCCCCAGGCAACTCAGCACTAATGTACTAGTAGTCTTTCTTTCAGTGTATTGCAAGTCAGTACAACATACAGTAAGTGTTTTGATGCTATTGATTGCTTTTTATAAACACGAAGAAGAAGAAGAAGAAGAATAAGAACATAAGGGTATTTTTAGAAACCCAACCATGTGTTAAAGGAAGTCTCCTATCCTTTCAACCTCTTTATGACTCCTCTTTGACTTGATTACACATGACAGCCTTACAGTACAGTCAGTCAGGCTCTTCACAAACCAGTGTGCACACTTTCAAGAAAACCAGGAGATTCAGAACAGGAAAAAGAGAGCAAACTACTAATACTGTCCTAGAGTAAGTTGCGCCAGCTATTTGTCAACTTACTGCCAAGTTTGTGTGTAAAATCTTTAATTTCCTAGTAACTGCTAAGTAGTTTCACACTTGATTTGGAATATCTTAGTTAAGACTTTGGTTAAAGTCGGTTGATACATCTGTAATGGTCTCTAACCAAAAATCTTTGTAAATGTAGGTATTATATATGCATACAGGAAGATATTTGTTTTTGAATCAGTAGCACATTCATGCGATTTAGAATCAGTCGGGAAATATCAGATTATCCTATTCTATTATTTCGTTATTTAGTCAAACTACTAGCATAGTTTTTAATTTGAGATACATTATGCTATTTTCGTGAAATGTAATTTAAAATCATCAATAGGCTGCTAAGTGTAGGGTCAGATGCACTGACCATAGTTCTTCACCTCTTTAAGTCTTCATCCTAAATGGGTGATATATTATCAAGTTCTGTTAGTTTGTTTAGACTATGTAAGAGTGAGTTTGTTTATCTTTGTGTTTTTGTTTTAATGATGTACAGTATAAATCTCCACCTAATGACTTAAGTTATAAAGAGGCTTGTGCAACCAGTTCCTACCTTTCAGTTAAAGATTCAAATCATACAGGATGTCAAGTTGTCAAATGTACTGTACAAATCCAGTCATTTTAAAACAAAACTTAATCTTTTCTACTGATTACCCATAAATTATAGACATTTGGTATAGCAGACATGGTTTGCCACATATGGCATAATGTCTTGTAAGTCACACTGTATTGTAAATGTATTTTAATGCTACAAACTGTAAATAGCACTATCAAATGTATTTAGAAGATTACAGCATATCTCGCTGGATAAAAGCACTGAATAACACCATAAAATAAGACACACAATCCAAACCATTTAACTGGGAGACACCAGAACCTAAAATATCCTTGTGTAATGTCATCAAAACCAACCCATTCTCGTCCTTGCAAAAGTATCCTGAATTTAAAAATGGTCCTGCTTAAAATGCGAACACAAAATGTATATTCAAGCAATGCAAGAGAATAAGTGAAATATCAGCTGTCCCACATGACATTCCTATCTTCATAATCTTCAATCAACATCAAATCAGCTGCAGGGAGGTCTTTATTTAATTTGATGCTGCTTCTATTTCAGTGTGATGCAAATCACAGATCTCTAAAATCTTGATAATTTAGTCGCTGCAGTGAAACACTAAATAGAGGTTTCTGATGGTGTACATTCATTATTGACAAGACATAAAAGACATCATCTTTGTCAGCTGAGGAAATATTCCCTTTAACTTTAAATCTGATGGTAGTGATGAGAGCTGCAACATTATGAAAAGCAGTAAGGAAAATATACTGTATGCTCTTCACAGCCACAGAGCTTTCATTGCTACAGTACCATACATGCCGGAGATTTATTCTTTAGTTGGATAAAAAAAAAAAGACTATATTTATGCACCAAGCTCTATGTTCCATTCTCATGAAAAAAACATAACAGTGTTTTCAATTTCTAGAAACCTGCAGAACAGCACTCCTAATCCTTTGATCAGACTGGATACCTCTCTGATTCCTCAGTCAGAAAAACAGGATCATTACTTTGGTATCGGTGAGAATAGTGTCTGATCAGTGGGCCTGGCACTGTGTGTTTAATGTAACTATCTCAGCTCTTTAAGACTGGTAGTAAATGGCTAATTCACACTGGCCAACAAGAGGTAACATTTTCCCAGTTGCTAATCTTATCTGAAGAAACGGTTTCTCCACTCAGTTGCCTGCATTCGGTAGATTCCTCTTAAAAATTGGTTAGATAATATTAGTTAAAAGGGTGTCCATCTACTCTCTTTTCATTTGCTCTTCTTCATACAGTTTTTCCAAGATACCTCCTATATATATATGTCTTGATTACAACTGTGCTCATATACAAGAAGTATGAACGGACAGACAAAGCGCTTCTGGGTCTTTCATGCATCACCATCCTCACATGTTCAGTGTGATTTTTCAGTAAGGCACAAGTGGATTATTCCTTAAGATGAAAAGCTAAACGTCACTCATGGAGGAGCAAAAATGTCAACATTCGTCTCTATAGCAAGGGCAGACCAGCCAGCAAATGCTAGCCATATACTTCATACTGGAAGAAGTGTAAACAAAAAAAAAAAAATCCACATTCCTTTGTGTTTGCACAGGACTGCTGCCTCGTCAGGAACCAGTGTCCGTTGTTGATTATGGAGTGTTTTAAGCAGTGAGGATCCTCTTTATCTGATGCAGATTTCAGGGCCTCTGGAAATTCAACAAGAGATAAGCAGAGACACTTCTATTGCTTCTAAGTTTGATGAATGTATTAATTTCTGTGTGTTTACAGGCTTTTGTGTGGGTATGTGAGAAGATGTCCAGTGTGTTGCTACCTCAATATGGGCTTTCATTTCCTTCCTGCTTATAAGAGAAGTTTGTAAAACTCATGCCTATGATACAATCAATAGTTCCAGTCTGGAGCATGCTCCTGATTTGGCTTAATCACTAGCACAGCTTTCGATCATGTTGGCACGGACATAATGAAAGGAAGTCAGATTCCTTCTAGAATAAATGGAACTTTTGAGTACACACACTTTAAGTTCTTGTGTGAGCGTTAGACACACATTTGAATGTACGGAGCTTGACACATTGACTTGTGTTGAAGTCACTCTAAAGGTTTTCAATCAATGATTGAAACACAATCCACTTAGTGAATGCACATGGGTACCTTGTCACAGATGTTCAGTCAATAAGCACAAAAGTGTGTATGTCTTTGTAAGCTCTGTCCACTACCAGTTGTGTTAAAAACTCCCCGAATCTTATTTTCACGCTCATTTTAGATTTTCGATGATGGCGATCTCTCGCCTGTCAGCGTAGTCTGGGCTGAGGCCGTTCAGATAGAGACTGCCATTCCTGGACAGGGCCCCTGTGACAGGACTGAGGGAGAGAGTTAAGTTGGGGTAAGCCTCTCTGTCCTCATACAGGTTGGCCGACAGCGTCCTCTTGCTAGGGGTCATTTCCTGGTTGATGGCTGTGTTAATACCCAGCTCGGATGACAGCTTGCGCTTGATGGATGCAGCACGCTGGAACTTGTCATAGATGTCAACGCTGAGCCGCCGCCGGGTCTCTTTGAACTCAGCTGACACATTTGCTGTCCACTCGGCTGCGTGAGCCCGAAACTCCCCGACCTGCAGAGACAAACTGAAGATTGATGTCTGCAGGAAAACAAGCACAACCTGCTCCTCTAGATTTTCTGCATTTACACATGTAGTTAGACATTTTCTGAAGCTAAACCACTGTTTATTTAATGTTTTCTGGGTAGCATGCATGACAAAGAAACACACTGGTGAAAATTTTATATAAAGCATATAAATATGCAGTTATAAAACACTTGTATGGTCCTTTAAAATTGGAAATGGGAAGGCAGTGCTGGTATTTTGTCTGTTTGTAATGGTTAAATAAGGATTTATCAATCATTCAAAAACCCTATCGCTATTTTTGAAGGTATTCATTGTTGTCAGACAGAAAAGGTTAATATAACTGACCACCTAAATGTGAACAGCTCACCAATAATTAATGGAGTTCACTCTGGTGAACATAAATGCCATGTCCATTAATCTGTTCAGACAACTATTTAAGAGCTCTTGCCTTGAGTGTTCTTTCACGTCTTGGTTGCTCTCCAATTAGCAATGCCCACGAATGAACGCTAAAGCCTTCATCTATTATTTGCAGTAAATGTTCATCTGTTATAGAGTGTGACTGCAAATGTGGAGGTTTAAAAAATAAACTTAAATAACTACACTGTGGAGAGTATGTTGGGTACCTTGTCACATATGATATGTTCAGTCAATAACAAAAAGGAATGATTTTTTTGGGACTTTGGGAAATATACTTATTCGCTTTTGCTTCATTGCTGAGAGTTAGATGAGAAGCTACCTGTGATGTATCTGTGCAAAACAGCTGGCCTGGCTCTATCCAATGTTAACAAACTTCGCCTACCAGCACTTATCAAAAACATTATATCTGGATATCTGGTTAAACAAAATATAATATGTTGATTAGTGAGCTTTAGAGGAGGCAGATTGTTTTACCTTTGGACAGAGACAGCCTTTCCCTGTTTCCAGTATTTTTGCTAAACTACACTAACTGGCTGCTAGCTGTAGTCCTATATTTACTGGAAAAATATGAGCTTTAAACATTTTTATAAATTGGACAGTGGTCAAAGAATTATTCCATTCCTTTACTTAAGTAACGTTATTATTACTACACTGTGAAAATACTCCACTGCAAGTAAAAGGTCACCTTCCATGGAGTCTGCCATGATGAACCGCCATGTTTCTACAGTGGCCCAGAGGGACAAACCAACCTCTAAAAGTGCAAGTATAAAAATGGTCCCTGTCTATGTTTTACTACATATTATGACGTTTTTGGATTAATATTACTGTTGCATTAATGTGCATGTTGCATTTCACTGATGTTGCTGTGTGATTTGAACTACTTTATATACTATTGGGTAGTTAAGTTTACAGTAATGCATACATCTTATATCACCATATGATAAGAACCACGTATCTTTAAAAAGTTAAGTCAAGTCCACAAAGAAAAAGACAATTTTGGGGGCTTTTATTGGCTTTTTATGATAGTGACAGCTAAAGAATGAAGAAAGGGAGTTTCCCTGGCCGCTACAATAAGGACTCGACTCGCCACCACTCTACTAGGTGAGCTACAAGGACACCGCAGAAATAAATCTGTGTTATGATTTCCACTTTGATGTATACAATTGCTGTTGAGAGATGTACAGATGTGACAAGGTGTAGACATGTTCACACCTCACCCATTACCTTACTGTTGAGGTTTATTTATTATACTTTACTCCAGCAATAAAAAGTAATGTCCTTTGTGTGAACGGCATGTGACCTAATGGCCCAGGTTTCTGGAGAACATACACTGTATCTGGTAGACAAAGTTTATGGTCCTTAAGAAGAAACGGAGGAGAGCGGAACAGACACATCATTGATCTCACCATCATAATCCATTAGGCTTCTCCAGGCTGTTTAATTATTCATAGGCTCTGAGGTGTGATTGTTTAAAGCTGCCTTCTGTGCACTTAAGTAAAAATGTATAGGGTGTGTCTGTATGTGTGAGCACAGTAGACACACACACTAGAGCACAAACACTTCAGTACGTGCTTTCTCCTCCTTCTTCTCACTTTCTCTGCCTCCCCCCTCCCAACCTCCCACCTCAACCACCTCTCTCAGTAATGTATTTCTCTGTGGAGCTCACAGCCTCCACAGCTCTACTCCTCATTATGCTTGTGCAAGGATTCCCTCTGCAGACTGCCATATAGCCCCCCCCCTCTCCCTCCCACACACACACACAAATTTTTTTATGTTATATGGATGCATGTAGATGGTTTATGCAGGACAGTGTGTCTGTGCGCAGAAGTGTGGTTCGCTCCATTATTTTTACATGTAAATAATGAAACTGCCAGAGCAACAAGGTATTGTATTACTCAGCAGCAGCACAACAAATATTTAATCAAACTCTTGTACGAGATGGTATTTTCTTCACAGGGCGCAGCCGAGATGGAGAGTCATCACTTCAGATTTATGACTTGAAGAGTGAATTGGAAAATACTGTGAGATATTACTCTGTCACTATGAGGGGAGAGGGATGTGACACCTGTGAACTTACTGCAAATGTCCCTCCACCTGCATTATTATATTTGTGGCTAGTTAGGCTGGTGCAGAGGCGCGTAGGGTTCAATGTGAAGCGGCAGCAGCTTGAAGTGGTCTAATGCAGTTAGAGTTACACTAGTATTTGTCTTTTCACATTCATAATGCAAACTATTTGGCAGTCTATAGTGTTACTTTAAAGCTGCAGGGCGTACTTTTTATAAAAATGAATACCAACACAGGGAATGGGACTCTACCATCAACTATTTTCAAGCCACCAATCCAACATGTCTTTTTATCTTTCTTGGTTCTGATTGGTTGTTTTGTTCAGCCCATGTGGATTCTTGCAAATGCCATTAGGAGCACTAGGAGGAGCCACATGAACCTGATTTTATTCACAGATTATCTGTCTCTTGTAGGCGACTACTAGGATATAGGGAAAGTTTCAGCTTTAAAACATTCTAAAACACAGTCAGTTATTTATAAAACCACCTTTTGTAACTTGTTGAAATAGATAATTTACACAACAGTACAGTATACAAAGGTGAGAAAGTAAGCAAAGATTTGAAATTCTCTCTTAAGCTTTCTTCTTTCATTCTCCTTGAAGATAAGGCTGGATTATAAATGTGCACCCAGTCTCATGTTTCACTTGGCTTTTGAAGATTATGTTGTTATGTATTTTTAAGTTTATGTTTTTTATCTTTTATCTTAAGCATTATGGCAGTTGGAGCAGTCCCACAAGCTTGGTTCATCAGTCTGTGAGACTTTGAGTCCGTTAAAAGTCTTTATTCTGTTAGTCACCGGCAGCGACACATTTCGTGACTCAGCCTACTTAGGAACAATGATTCTGGACTAAAATATATTTGGCCCTGAGGGAAATTGAGGTTTATCTGGACAGCTGGATCTTGATCAATATCAAAAATCAAATTAAAGGTGTGGTAATGGGCTTCAGCAAGTGAACATGAAGAGCTAGCAGGTGATTCTTGTCTCCAAACATCCTCTTCAACCTGTTTGAGAAAAACCTCCAAGGAAATCCAGTTTTCCCTCCTTTAACAGAGAGAGGTTTCTTATCTCCGACACCTCTAGTGTGACATAACTTGTAGCACATCAGCACGTACTGTACCTCCTCTTTAGTTTTTTTGGAGATGACCCGGAACCAGTCTCCAATCATGCTGAGCACAGCAGCAAAGTACGCCAGGCCCACCAGGATCCAGAACCACACCACAGGCTTGTAGTAGTCCAGATACTCTGGACTTTCTGACCCACCTGCAGACCCACCTGCAGAACCAAAGACACAACAAGTCAGTTACACAAGTGTGTTACATGATCTTGGATGACATTACCAAACTGAATTATTCTGAAAGGAAGAACAAACGCAAGCAGTTTATTAATTTTCATTTTAGTGATGCAGTCAGTTAAGTAAGTTAAGTAAAATGGGTCTCATTTAAAATTGATACAGATATAGGTCTACAGCAGTGGTTCCCACATGGACCCCATTTCTATCATTGAGTAAACTGTGACATATTTCATGGATATTTCCTATTTTATTGAATGAATAATAATAACACTACAGAACAACTGATAAACTGAACCAATAAAACAAACAGTGATCACAATAACTGCAGGAAGTTTGTGTAAAATGTGGAGGTTGGATGCATATTGAGCAGATAAATTCCTGTGAATACAACATCACAAATGAGTTTTCCTGATATTTTTAGGGAAGTTTTTATACAGTTATCTGTCTATATTATGTATAGACTGATTACATCAGCAGCATGGACTTATTCCAGTCCTATCCACGTACAAACATTACCTCCAGTACATTTAATTTTGGATCCCACCATCAGCTGTGTGTTTTAAGGGACCCTTATTAAATGGACTGGTATGATGCAGCGTAGCCCACTGAGCAGTTAGATATTCACCCATTACAGCACCAGCTTAACTAACAGCCGTCCAGGCTAATTAGTTTAGTGTAACTCCTGGCACAGGTGGTGTAATCTAATCTATAATCATTAGGCCTACTCAGGGAAGTTTAATCTAGCAGCTAAGTGTTTGTGATTTTTCACATCTGCCTCTCCCTTTTTGTCTGTCAAGCAGGTCAAATCAAGCTAATACCACCTGCTTACACACACACACACACACACACACTTAGAGATGCACACATGCTCACTCTCTAATGTGTGAAAGTAATTTAGATATTTCATAATCTCTCTCATTAAGGACTAAAATGTATGACTTAAAATACTGTACATCGATAAAAAACCATTGGTCATGAGGCCCTATTAGGATCAGCTGTATTAAATAGCTTAATGCACATGTTGGGAAGTATGCGCTGTACAGTAGCTGGGATGAGGTTTGATACGACCATGAGCTGAAGCCTACTACCGCCAGCAGTTGGTTAGCTTAGCATTGCATAAAGTCTGAAAACAGGGGGCAACAGCAAGGCTGGCTCTGTCAAAGATAGCTAAATCCTTCAACCAGCCTCCCAGCCCATTAACTGACATGTTGTATATCGTTAATAGTCTCCAGAAAAAAAACCCCAAAAGCCTAAAATCCAAGTCTGCTGGTTGCCTGGCAACAACTGCCAGTCAAGTAATAGGGAAAGTAAAATGGCAAATTTAGGTCTTTTCACTTCTGATTTTGTGCAGGGTATAAGTAAGGTATAATGCTCAATGAAATGTCCATTATCATGAATTAATGGATGACGTGGAGGCCACAACTGCATCCTGATGTAGCGAGTTGATTAGTGGACAGGATGTGTGGAAGATCGCTTATAGAAAGTATCAGTGAGTTCAGAGGGGCAGTGTAGGGGCTTTTGTGTTACAGTCCCCATCCTGCAGTGTTCAGAGAAACTGAAGGATTACACTCAGTGTTGTGAATTATATTTATGAGATATTTAGCTAGCTATTTCAGTGCATTACCTTAGAACAGTAACCAGACTGTTTCACTGGAACTACTTAGGTGTTCTACATCAGGCATTAATGGACACCCAGCAGCCAATCAGAATTGAGTATGCGCAAAGACCATGGTATAAAAACAACATGTATACTGTTAATTAGTGAATCTTAGAGGTTTGTTTTTAGTCTTTATGCTAAGCTAAGCTAACCAGCTGCTGCCTCCAGCTTCAGTACAGACACAGTACAGAAATAAAAAACCTCTCTTCTAATTCTCAGCAGAATATCCAAAATGTCAAACTATTCCTTTAAAAGTCATGGGTGGTGACATGTTTTATTTTCACTGGCTCTGATAAATGAGTATGCTGCAGAAATGAGCATACACATTGCAGAGCATTTATGTCTATAATTTATATTCATTAGAGTATGAATTGCAGTGAATCATTTATTCATCATGTTCGTTTAATAACATGTCAGTTATAATGTGTTTGTGTTTTTTGTATAGATTCTGGTTTAACAGATGGGAGCTATAAAAACATATTGCAAGGATTCAGATGCACTGTCAGAATCATATATTGTGAAGCACAGGGTATAATAGCAGGCCAATGGGAGGCTTATTGCTGTGGTGCACATCTGTTGAGTCAGACTGGCTGAGGAATAACTCAACTATAAATACACTGATTCTAAACTGGGCATCAGACATAAAAATGAAAGACTGCCAATAAATCAGACAGAAAATCAAGTGACCTTTTTCGCCAGCGACAAAGTCTCCAAAGCCGATCGTGGTGAGGGTGATGACGACAAAGTAGATGGACTCGAGCGTGCTCCAGCCTTCGATGTGCTTGAAGATGACAGCTGGCAGGGCCACGAAAATGAGGCACCCGAACAGGATGAAGAGCAGCGTGGAGAAGACGCGGATCTTCGTCTGGCTGACTTTCCACTTCTGTGGGGAGATAAAGGAATTGTTGAGAAAAATATTAAATCATTTCCACATAAAAAAACAAACTTTTTAATGAAACCAGTGGGAATGAGAGGAGAAAGACTTAAAAGAAAACAATCTGTTCATAAAACTGAGGAGTGCAAAGGCTATGAATGCAAACAGTGGTGATTAATGGTGTATTATAATTTGTTAATTGGCCGACATCAATTTTTTTTTGTCTAGTACACATGTATAAGTGATTTCTTGTAGCCCAAGACCTTTGCTCAAACGATTGTGAAGGAAATTAACACTTGAAAACATTCTGCCTATTTCCTACTCCCTGATTTCCCACAGGTTTTTTTTTTTCACATTGTGATGACTCACTTCCTTCGACCTCCTTCTAGGAATACATTTGCTGTTTTCTAACATCTCAAACGTCAGGCTGTCAAGCTCATGTGACATAACTTTCGCTGTCAGATGGCCCGCCCCCCCGAGCTGGGGAGAGGTGGCAAATCACTTGACGTGTGCTGTAATACGGTGACTTCATCAAATATTTTCACATGCAGACATTGTAGCAGATATACTAATGGGTTCGCTGCAGTTACATTCTGTGCGATCAGCTGTAGCTATGAGGATTTTAATTTGACGTGAGCCCTGCAGTCCCTCTTTTGCATCACAGTTACAGTTCATTAGAGTCCATTCTGCATGCTGCAGTTTTCTCTGCTGCCTTAGCACTTGACGTGACTGCTTTCAGCTGGTTCCCTGCGTATCGTGGCCTTTTTCCCTTGCAGTTATGTAAGCCCAAAGCGGAGAGCCTCTGAGGGGAGGCATAAAGAGCAGCCAGACATCACATCACTGAGCCTGTGATGTCTAATGTCCTTGCTGAGCTGGACAAAGTACACTACAGTAGTGTACAGTTTAAAGAGACCTTCAAGCTAAATTAGGGACTAGTGAAGCTGAGGTGGCTTCTCAACCAGCATCTACACTGCACAACAGCTACTTCAGCAGCTGCTACAGTCCATTTATTTCCATTGTTCGAGCCAGCTGCCAACCTCTCTCCTCCCTCAGGAGGGAAGAGCCAGCAATGAATCAAAGTCATAATTAACCTGTTGCTGCCGAGTATCTGGATTCTTGAGTAAATTGCTATTTGTGCTTTTATACTGAAAATGGAGCCTCCTATATAGAAATCTGTTATAGTGGACTTTTATTGGCATTACCTTTTTCACCCCTACAATTTATGTGCAAATTGCAAACACCAGATACAAAAGATTATCCTACATGTATGAAAATGAGCTCTGGTAGAAAAATATAATGATTTTGGGATTCTCTTTATTTTACTGTGGGGCATATCTCAGCCTATCTACTATAAATTGAGGTGTCTCTCTGCACCACAGTTTCTAGAAATTATGTTTATATAAAAGCTATTTGCAACAGCAAATAGAAAAACAAGAGGCCAGTCAGGGTATGTTTTTATCAACATAATTAGGAAACAATGTTTATTAATTAATTTCATTTGTTTTCCTAAAATGTCAGCTCTGACTGCAGTATGTCAGTCATTGTGGACTCTAGTGCAAGTATTATAATATAATTGGTAATACTTGCCAACAACACCTCCCGCCAGCAGTCTGAACTGCTTCAAATCACTATGGAAAAAGGATTTCCAGTCCCATCCTGCCACTGGGTCATATTAACTGATTCGTATGACTCCTCAGCCAACATACTGTACATGGCTCCAATCGCAGTCCTCTGACAGCCAGACTGACTGGAAACATGGATGTTAACAGCTACTCACCATCTAATTTATTTCTCACACCCACATAAAGAAAAATTATGTGTAAGTGCTAGCATCAGCTATTTTTCTTCATCATACAGCACACTCATTTGGTATTTTCTTCTCCTTTAAATAAGACAGTATACAGAAACTCAGGTGGTCGTTTTCAAACTGCGTTCTGCTGACTCAGACATTACTGTAACTTTTGCGTAATGATGCAATTATGTCATACGTCCCCCTCAACATCCTCTCCATCATTTAAAGAATGGTACATTTTTCATATAACTTAAAAAGAAAAGCACATCTTTTTCATGCGTTTACTTATATTTTATTTCTGGTCACCAAACTATTATTTATAAATGTATTCTATTAAATGTCTGTTATACTGCATCTATAGTATTTGAGTCATGATTAAGTTATTACAAGTCATCAAATAGCTGCACAGTCCATTTGATTAATGGTGTACAGTAGTTTATAAAAAGCATGTCATTCTGGTACAGAACTTCTGGTAGAAGATAAAATAACTAATTTGATCTGTTTGAGGTAACTTAGGAAACTTTTTCAGAGTCTCTGTTATCATCCTTATTGGCCTGTGTACTGAGCAGCTGCTTTTTCTGGGCTACTCTTTGAGTTTCCAGGGAAAACTTAATGACTAACCATCATCCAGACTGCCCAGCAGAGTCCATTTATATTCTCTATGTACAACATGACTAATGGTGCCTTCTAATTGGCAGAATGGTGACGTGTGTTGCACCTAAGACAGATGTGTGCAAACTGTATGTGCTTGTATACAGACAGAAGTCAATGTGTAACTTGCAATGTGGTAAACAGGCCTAGCACCATTATTTCAGAGTGATGTATTGATCAGTGTGTGCTGCTAGTTTATTCCACTGCCAGAAACAAGATGGCAACAGTCCACTGAGTTCAGCAAAAAAGGCAACAAAAACACGAAAACGTTAAAAAAAAATATTGCTTTAAAACAACTGTATTATTTAGTGATCTGGGCTTTCATTACTGAAACAAAGGGTAGATTGGTTTCCAGGAGTCTGTTGACATGGCAACCATAAAACTGCATCCAGTTCTTCCACACAGTCAGGTTCTCACAACTAAAGAAAAAGATCCTGCACTTGTTTAGTGTTGAGGGATATTTATGTTGCATAGTGCAGTTCTTCATAGGAAACATATAATTTTACAGCTGCCTTTGTATTGCCTGGGTAATTAATTCGTGAAATGTGACTGTTACAGTACTGTTCTACATTAAAATGGCTCATTGCACACAGGTAAACACGCAGGGAGGTGCTAAAACAAAAACAAGAAGCTCATCTAAACAAAAGGAACTCACCACAATCATCTTCTCCACTTTGGCGATGCCCTTCCCAAATATGGTCCCCAACTGGTCCCCGACACCAGCCAATAAGAATCCAAATAAGGGAATCCCCAGCAGAGCGTAAATGATGCAGAAGATCCGCCCGCCTTCTGTGTGAGGAGAGATGTTCCCAAATCCTGACAGAAAGGAGAAGCAGAGAGTTAATTAAGTCAAATGTCAGCGTAAATTAGCTGCAACATGATACATTAGTACGGTAGTAGTGTAGTTAGTTGGGAAAAGGACATTGTAGATTCCTGTGAGACTGTTCTTTAAAGGGTACAGTGTGTTCTGCTGTGAAATGCTGGTTCTGTTTTATTGGAGTACATTTTTACACTTTACTATAAAAAAGGGGATTTTCTGTGTTTTAACAGACAGCGTTTTTCAACAGTAGAGTGCTTGTTTTATTAAAGAACTGTATATGTAACACTAATACAAGCTTTACTTCATTTACTTTTCATTCTATTTACCTTCTGTAATTTTGCTATATGTATGACTCTAAGTTACTTACAACAATCGTAAAGTGAATGATATTTTTATGTTCTGAAGCTACAGTTTTATTTACATTTACAGGTAAATCTGTTGTAGAAGAGCAGCTTGTCGAGTTATGTGTGTGGCAGCTTGCGTACAGCCAGCACCCGCCCCTGTCCTCAGTGTGACAGTCTTTACTGCGTTTTGCTGTTGATCTTTCTCTCCTCTCCTCTGCTCTGATCACTGTTCACTGAGGGCGAGGCTTAGCCCTGCACATACACGGAGCAGTGGAGCAGAGGAGATGATAACATGATTCGAATTGATGACAGCTTGTTACATTATTTCTGTAAGTGCAATAATATATAGTATACTGAGTATATGGACGGTTAACTGCCCTTGCTGGTGTTTTATCACAAAGGTTAGCTTCAGTCAGGTAGCTGGCTGAAATGGTAGTGTTTAATGCTGAGCTATTAGTTAAGCCACCCCTGGCCTATAAGGATCCTGTGGATTCATTTTCTGTAGGAATATAATCTGGGTATTTTTTTATATTATGAGAGTTTTGTTGATTTTTTTATTGAAATATTGCTCTCTTCTGGTGTTTCAGAAAACATTACATAAGAAAGTCTATAAATGCTTTTATAGTAGTTATGCTAGTGCATGGCCATAAAGTGTTGAAAGACGGTCCTGGGAATTGTGGTCATTGTGCACTTTAGTAGCACAAGCAATGGATGTTACCACTACTTGTCAGTGTATATTTTGTGTTTGTTGCACTTCTGTATCTCATTATAAGGCATCGTATTTTCACCAAATCTAGTTGAATAAATAACCGCACACAAGAAAACTTTCCACCAAGCTTGACTGTCCTATAGCATCACTGCAGACAGACACAGCAGAAAAACCTTGGGAAACTTTGTGAGTCAAAGATAGAAGTTGTGTAAAAGCAAAGCTGACTCAGACTACATTTAATAATTCACACCCAGTGTCCTCAAACAACTCTGACCTGACTGAAAACTGAAACAAAAACAAAACAACAAAAAAAAATGTATAAAGGCCTTCATATGTTCTCAAACACACACAAACAGAAACACACAAATGTGAGTCCATCACTGGATCGCTGCCTTTCATCTTCTCTCCATCATCATGTGCAGCTAGAAAAGCAGATGGGGACTTATAGAAGTCCACATTCTGGTAAACAAAAACCTTCAAGACCTGTGCCTCATGTAAAACTGACTCCACACATTCAACAACATTTCATTATTAATGTTTCATAAGGAGTCTGCATAATGAACTACACTCACTTTTCTTTATTAATGTACTCATCTGTCTCAGGATGGGAGCTGCAGGGTGCCTTCTAATGACTTTCCAGTTCCACGTTGGAGTTATGTGACACTAAATGTGAGAAAAATTGTCAATCAAGTCTTACTAATTTCATGATTAGTTCAATGGGAGACAGGATGCTGGATTCATTTTTCACACCTCTGGGTGCCTCTGTTGCAGAACAAACGAGGAGCCGCAGCTATCTAATTTGAAGCTGCATTAACTTTATTTTTCTGAATCAAACAGAATGTTTATGTTCTCACCTTTGAATGCTATCAAAGTATCAGACATGAAAAGCAAGTTAGTGTGACACTGGAATAAAATGGTGGCATTCAGGGACAATTAACTGTCTTTGTATCCAAATAGGCTAAAAAAAATATAGCTAAATGAGTTTTAATAAAAATATATAAGCACAGACAAGTTTAGAATTTTTAAGTTGCCAGAAAGGTAAGAAATTGAGAAGAACATCGATTTAAATGCATATGTATGAAAAAAAATCTGAATTTCTGCATTATTGTTAGATCAGATTATTAGATTATATATATTTTACTAAAAAGTTTGATTAGATTAACTACAACATTGCCTTCATGAATAATACATAAAATTTAAAGCCTAGAAGTGGACAAACCCATTTGTCAGTATGGGTCACAAATCACTGAATTCATGACACTACTGACAAAGTTATGTAATGATCATGTGCAGTAACGTGTCCCCGTCTGTACGGTCTCTTCAAGGAACGAATGGACAATAAAAGCTTAATGACTTCCTTCAACTCATTAAGTGATGCTTGGAGAGGAAATGGCAACACGACATTTAAATGAGTAACTTTATTAGCTCCGTTAAAGACACTGTGTTGGTTTTGTTGGTTTTTGATCATTTTTATTGTGAAAAAAGCCTGCAATGAAATCCTGTCATGGTGGGTTTTAGGTGGTATTAAAGTAAGCTCATTGTCTCATTGTTTTCAACTTTACTTCCTATAAATAGAAACACTAGGATGTTTCCCTGGATGGATTTCACAGAGTAAAGAAAAGGATATTTTTCATGGTACAGTACATGACATTAAATAAAACTGATATTTTATGGAATAAGGACCCCTCTGCTCCACTGGAAACAGGGACAAGTTTGTCAAAAAGAATAATAACGACCTTTTCCTTTACGTATGAGATCTGTTTTGATCTATACAGCATGCGAAATGTGAATATCAGTAGGAATATAACAGTAGGAGAGACTAAGCTAAGGAATCCCACAGGGAAGAAAACTGTGAGATCAATCGTTAGTGCACCTCTTTAACTCCCGGGAGAGACGAGAAAGGAGGCAACAGATATAGGAGTTATCTCAGTTCATTTCCTGGATAAAGTATATAGATGAAAGTAAGTGTGGGGAAAGATTCTTTGCCTCAATACGGCACATCCAATTAAAGATCTCCTCATAAACACATCAATCTGTGTGTTTGAAATGTTACTCAGCCACTTCTAACTGAATCAAGTAAAGCAAGAACAATATAATAAAGAGTGTCAGATGCGCCTGCTGAATTGCTTTCCTTTCTGGAAATTATTATTGTATCTCTGAATTTACACAATGGCTTTAGGAAACAGCTTTTGTGAAATTTGCATAGCAGCAATGGCAACACAACATTTTGCACTGATCAGGCAAAATTATGATGATTGCCAACAGACAGCACGGTAATTATGTGCTGTTTACACTAACAAGCATCGCAGGTAATACGCACAAAACACCACCTGGGAGTGAGGTTTCTGCAGCAAAATCAAAGCTGATAAAACTCTACGTACCAAAAGAGTTTTTTTTTTTATTTCTGTGCTCCTTCACTTCACAAACCTTTCTATGTTCTATGAGTTTTCAAAAAAAGCCAATAAAAAAAAAATCTATGTTCTCAAAACAGCTCTCCTATTTTCTCTTTTCATGAGAAAACACCACTACACCTTCAAGTCAAACATCAGTAAATCTGGCTAGACTTTGCTAAATCACTGCAGCAACTGAGTGAAAAACAGAAAGTCGACACACTCAATCTAAGGTGAGCAAAGGAGAAACCCACAGTGCAGCTTTTACGCTCTGCCTACACGTGAGTACCTTTAATCTCATTCAAAAGCACACATTTTCCAACCAGAGGGCAAAATCAAGTTATTGCAACACTGTAATACTTTCTGACTGGGGAATGAACTTTGATGGGTTACAGGAGAGGTGAAGTGGAGCCCAAACAGACGACCAAACAGACAAGCTGATGTGTTAAGGTCTGCTTGGATGAGCCAGATAAGACCAGCTGTGTGTGTGTGCATGTGTGTGCTGTTGCTGTAGCCAATGGATTTTTGCAGTTTTGGTGAGCAGAGGTACAAGTCTGGTGCAGTGCAGCAAAATCTGGAAAAGGGGGAGGGTTAGGTTAGCAAAGAAGTGCAATTCAATGCCGAAATATTCGTCAAGACTACATTCTGCCTACACATCATGACCATTAATCTGTAAAAATCATCATTGAGTGAGATCAGTTTATTTCAACTCAAGGTGTTACATTTACTGACCAGAGAATGAGCTCTGACAGGATGTGAGAGATCTGAAACAGAGCCCAACAACCCACTGAACAGAAGCACCGATCTGTCAAGGTCCACTTGGAAGAGCCAGATGAGCTGTCAGACTAGCTGTGTGTGAGCGTGTGTGTGTGTGAGCTGTTTCATTTTCCTTATTACTAAGCTCTTACAGCTGGAGGTGACAGAGAGAGAGCTTGATGATGGAAAAAACATGATGGAAAAGGAAAGTGTGTTAGAGTCTTAGGCTGTATGAATGTGCTACATGATGACAGCTCCTTGATTACATAGTACAGTAGCTAAGAGCAACTGAGCACAGGCCCTTAAAAATCCTGTTATTTTAATGTAGTTCAGAATCCTTTAAGCTCTGTAGGCTACAGTTCTTGTTCGGTTAACAAGTTTTAGAAAATCAAAGTACTACCACATCTCTGTAACATTGAATCTATGCACTAAAAGTCAGTACATGTAGCCAGACATTTCTATGTTAACCTATGGGTTTAATGATAATTGTTTATGTGTGTAGCATGAAGGAACAGCAAACTTTTATTTCGTTATACACACAGGATTTTAAATGTATTGCAGAGAAGAGTGTAGCATCTTACCATGGCTACATATTTATTACATTATTTATGCGAATTATTTTTACATGGGTTACACAGCTCTTACGCTCCAAGGCTGGGGAAAGAGTCTGCCCAAACACTGAAACAAACAAGTATTAAACCAGCTAAGCTGTACTCAACTCAGCAATGTTTTTTTACTGGGTCGATACAGCTTGTGTACCTGGAGTTATTTTGTAGTTCATAAACCTAATTTATGCTGAATCACTTGAAACCTTTCAAAACTGCTGGACTCACAAGATCATGTGGGAATCTATCTTGCCAAGCTTCAAGCTATGTGCTTTTGTCCAAACCACAGTGGTTTGAAAATGAAGCTAACGAAAACCGCAGTTCCTCGAACGCCACTTGAGGCTGGCTACAGAAGTGAGTCACTGTCTATAAGGTCCCATTTTAAAATGCCAGCTTTACAGCAGAAATAAACACATTTACAGTCTGATGTAGAAAACGGGTTTGGTCATTACAGCTTAATTTATTTGCTATAGTGGGGGTGTACCTGTTTAGATTATATTAAGGCTTAAATTTATGCATAATTAAGGACATTGCCATTTTGATTGACAGGTGGGTGCTGTCAAAGGCGGTTGTTTTCAATAACCAGGCTTCATTCAGCCTGTCTCAGCTCCACCCATGCTATACTCCACCATTTTTTAATTTGCTGCTAGACAGGCGAAGTCAGAACTTCCAAGACGACGACAGCTAGAGGCGACCAAACTGAGCTTCACAGTGGCTCTTCAGAACCTACGAGTGACAGATGGTTCATCCAATCACCTGCCACGTACTTTTTTGAAAGTGCCTTCCCTTTTCCAAACTGATCTGGTGACTTTCCAGATGGTTCTCTTTAACAAACCATCTGACACACTCGGTTAAATCACTATTAGAAAACAACATTTTTGTTTTGTTGGCTCTGTTTTTCTGAAAGTGAGATCAAGTGCAAACTTGAGCTACAAACTAAGTGAATGTGGCCTACTAATTTTTGCAATTTTGGCAACCAGTGGTCAAAGTGCAATTCTGGTGCAATGAAGCACAATCTGGAAAAAGAGCTGATGCAGGTTTTAGGTTAGCAAGTGTAATTTTTCTATGCAAGTGCAATTTCATGCCAAAATGGTCATAAAAATTGCCTTTTGCCTCTGTTGGCTTAGTGCATGAAGAAAAATGATGAATGCACTGTGCTTATAAAGCACTTTCCAGCATTTAACCAAAAATGTTTCTACATCACAAAACAGTAATTGTCTTTACATTTTCACAGCATTGCATTCACCTTGTATGAAGTATTGCCAAAAGCCTCTACAAGGAGAGAAGAATGAGCAGTGAGTAGTTAAATAGAGAGAAACCACTTACCGATAGTCGTGATAACAGTCCCAGCAAAGAAAAAAGAGGAACTGATGTCCCAGAGGCTCGACTGATTGGATGAATTTCCTGAAGGGTTCACACCTGCTCGGACAGCTGAAACCACTTGCTGGAGCGGAAAGAAAAAGAGAAAAAGAAGTTAGCGCATAATGCTCTCAGTGGGAGTGTGGTGTGAGGTGGGCTGAGGAACAAAAGAAAATTAGCTGCGTGCATCAATTTTCTGCAGGGAATAGATGACAGCCACGATAAACATCCAACCAAAGCCAATTAAGAGTTGTGAGAAACAATGAAGGGCATCTGTCACCTCCATAAAATTCATGAAAAAGGTTTAAATTTTAAATATCTGCACTATGCATAAACGCCTGTCAGTTATATCCCATGGGCTAAAATTAAGCTCTTTATAGAAGATAATTATTATTATTCAAACATTCATTTACAAATTATTTACACATTCTCAAATGCTAACATCTGCACATTTTATCTGTTCGGACCTTTTACACGTTTCCAATCAATGTGGGACTTCATTTCACAATCTCAAAATCTTAAAGATGCACTTTAGCCACACCCACTACTTTGGCCATACACATTGCTGTTATCAGTGCTTCCTAACATTTCAATTCATGTCATAACCATATGTACTGTCAATGGTCATAACCCAGCCTGTTTGCATGAAATTTGTGCAGAAACTGTTTATCCTTCAGGTAGGGCCAGAGCTCCGGAACCAAACATTTTAAAAACACATTTAAAAATATGTTTAAAGGGATTATGGACTTTTTTCAGTTTGTTTGTTTTTTTTTTTTTTTTTTTTTTTTTTTAGTTTTTATTTGTTTTTTTTTTTTTTTTTTTTTTTTATGTTTTTTTTTTTTTTTTGCATTTATTTTTATGTTTTTGTTTTTTTTTTTTTTTTGGTTTTGAAGATGTGGGGGATAACAACTTCTAAGCCTTATGTTGATTTTCTCGTGATAAATAAAAGGTTATTTTAAGTGGTACCAAAAGGGGAGCATGATTGTGGCTGGGATGTGATAACAGCTAAGTCATTATTGTGCTGATTAGTCTTTACCAGGTGACTTTGAGTGTGACTCGAGTCTCAGCTGAGTGTGAAAAGCCCTTTAGACACCAGCCGGCTGTACAGGAAACAGAACAGCAACATGTTTTCCCACTCAGGGCTGTGCTCTCATGACAGGAGACAAAAGGGGAATGAAGCCACCAGCTGGAGGGAAAACACACCACTGCACAGCTTCTCACGCCCACAATCACCTAAACATAGACCTGAGCAGCAGACACTGAAAGAGGGTTTGTACCATAGGCTGTATAAATATATATGAATGTAATAATGTAATGTTATGTAATGTAATGTGTGTAATTAGGCACTAAACACAAGCCATGGATTTCTCCATGGTGCTCTTTTCTCAAAACCAAAAACAGAGCAAAATTGTATAGAACCTATTACCTACAGTGGTAACTGAGCATTACTTTCAAAGCCAAGGGCTACATCATTAACTGACTACATTTATTTGCGGGGTTACAGGTTATGTTAAAAAAAAGAAAACCTTGTTCAATAAACACTAAGGGTGTAGTATTTCCCCACTGTGTGGACTACTCTTGGATACTCCTGGACCCCTTTTACAGGGTTCTTGTTTTAAAACAAGTCAGCTGGAAACCTTTAAAAAGTAGTGCCAGAGACAATGTTTTCAACCAACCAGCGTCACATTTTGCCTCACCTAGGAGATGCAGACATTGTAGCTTTTCATACTGCACCTTTATACAAATGAAAACCTTCCATCTCTAGGTAAGGCAAAATGTGACACTGACACAGTATCCTCTAGTGGATTGGCAGGTCCGTTACCCTCTTTGGCATGATTCTGGGCTGTATCATTTTAAAATTCATATGAAAGGAAAGCTTGACGGGCATACAGACATCAACTATAGAGTGTAAGGCCTGGCAAATTGTCAGTTCCTCTGAATGCTGGATGAATCTGATCTCCAAAGGTTTTTTAAAAGTTCACTGCAGTAAGACAAACGGTTTTTGGCCAAGTGGCTTCTCAAGATACAGAATCATTTCTGCGACAAATGAAAAAGAAAAGATTTGAGACCTTAAGGGATCAGCAAGCACTGCTACAGAGGCAGTGCTAATAAATTGCAGAAGAATACTTTACTGGACCAAAGCTTTTATTCCCTTATGCATATGTGGGGTTTTTTTTCCAACCGAGAGCAATAAAAATGGTCTGATTCGTGTGTGCTTCACCTTAATAAATGTTAGACTTGTACCAGTGGGGGAGTAGCTCTTTTTGATGATCTCCATGATTTGTATTTAATATCAATAAACCTTCAGGAACAGAGCAGTAATGCTACAATAATGACGTAGCACTGCCAATAGTCCTCCTGAACAAGCACTGTCAGCTTTTTCTGAAAC